CCCCTCGTATCGGTCCGGATTGTTCGGGTCCGGTGTCCGGTGGTGTCCGGACCACTGGACAGTCCGGAGAACAGTCCAGAAGTATTCGGTGTTTGGGTCCGCGGTTACTATGAAATAAGACCAATGAGAAATAAAATTAAAGAATGAGGGCGAAGAAAAGGGGGAGATAATGAGACTGCTATCACTCTTTTGGTCCCGTCAGACTGGCCCGTGGTTGGGATCGCCCACAAAAACCAAGGGGGATAGTCCATAAGACCTTCCACCCCCCGACTTCCTTTAATTGCACTCCGCACCTCCATTGTCATCAACATGACTTGATCCCCGTATTTGTGGCTTAAGAGTTAGATGTCGTAACCTATAGTGCTAGGCCCATGGCTGGGATGTGAATTTCATTATAAAACATATTTGCCCTGCGCCTAAGCCTACCGAACTGCATTAAAAGTTTGTGCTTTGGCCCACCATCCACTTCTACAGTCACCACACTTCCGCACCCACCGCTCGGAGAGGTAGATTTTGCCCACGGTTGCTGCGCACATTACCAAGTTGCACTGCCGACGAGGAGTTCGACTCCCCTTATCCGATATTCCCTCGAAAGGCCGCGCTTTTTAACACCTTGCTGTCGGGAAATCCTGTATTTTTTACTTATATCACACCACGTTCACACCAACCTTGCTAGGGTCGATAACGGTCTCTATTGCCGACCAAAACACGATGAACCTAAGTATTCAACACATCTCACATTCTGTGGCCCGAAATGGCGCCTCCGGTAGGTCAACATAAAATCACTTTGGACCACGGTTTCAACGTCCAACAACTAGCTTTAACACCGACCATGAAAATGTCAGTTTCTATGTTGTGCGCACTAAGTGCGCGCGGCAATGCTAATAAAAAAAACTCTTAATCCTTCCGTAGCTCGCACTATTATGGGATGTTGTCACCAGGTATCTGATTACATGAATGCACGCCCCCAAAGTGCACACTCACATACTCTCTAACCTGACTATGCATGCGTTTTGCCGTTTCGACTTCTATGAGTCGTTTGCGGCTGCGCAAAAATGGGACACTCTTTCAAGTATCATAAAACATGAGTCTCGTGCGAGACGCAGAAATATGGGCAATATACTCGTGAGGGTATTCATGCCGACAGCGGGGGCGGTGACAGGGGTTCGGGGAGGGCGGGACCGGGGTGTGGGGGCAGGGGCGAGGGTGAAAGGACGGGGGCGGGGGTGTAGGGGCGGGGGCGTAGGGGTTGAGGCAGAGGCAGGGGTGAACGGGCGGATTCGAGGGCGAAGGGGCGGGGACGGGGCTCAGGGATCTCCATGCTGGGGGGCCAGGGGTCAAACGGACTCAAACCCCTACCCCGGCTCAGCCCTCGGGGATCCCGCCTGACAAACGTGATGAAAGCCATGCTCAATCAGACCCTCCGTCCATTCCTATTCCTATGTAGCAGTGGAACCTACACGAGGGCGGGTTCTGCATGTACATATCCAGTCCCCGAGACATGTGATTGCATATGGGTCCATGGAAGGCCCCCCCCTGGAACGTAGACGGCCCACCCAGCCACATAAATCATCATCGCTGACAGTCAGATCCCCAGCACCTCACTCCGCCATTACAGGCACGAATCAAGCACACTGACATATCACACCCATGATGTCAGAATGGGGCCATGATAAAGTTGCGAAAAAATGAAACCCACCGTCTTCCTGGTTAGAACTTCGCATAGCAGAACTGTTGTATACTATATTTACGACAAACACGATGTGCAACTCCCATGAGGGAGGTCGTGTGTTCGATTCTTGAGATCGGGATATGTAATGCAATTGTTATGTTGTGAGCCAGACCACGCCAACGGCAAGAGGCTGACCAATAACATCACAAGGCGTTACCCCGCGAAACCCTAAGCCGTCGGCGGCTCCAAACGCAGGCCGCAAGATGATCGATGCCCTAAACCGTCAATGTTTTCGGCGGCTCCAAACGCAGGCCGCATGATTATTGATGCCTACGCGCCGCACAAATGCCGCTCAGATCCACACACGTCGCACATAACAACCACAACGCCAGCAGGTGGGACCTAGCCCCTGTTCCACCCTGCTCGATCCGTCACCCTTCCTTCACTCTTTTATTTTTTTGGGTCCTCTCGTTTTCGTTTTGCCCTTGCTTTTTCATCCCTTTCACAGCCGCGCCTTCAAATCCCGATAACCGTTCCACGTACCGAGGTGCGGGGCCGGGGACACGAAGAAATCCTGCTTCAAGCGTGGTTAGGTCATACAAAACTGGACCGATTGGTTTCGCCGGCCATACGCTGGTTCTCTCTCCCTCCGGGCTGCGCCTTCGCGCCGTGCGCGGTACACACTGTGTTCGGGACGTCGCCGTTACGCAGACGGGTCTGCGACCAACGAAGGTGGACGGGGAGAGGGGTTGTTGAGGGACGTTTTGTCGAGGAGTGGGCGTGCGTGACGGACGGTGGGCAGTGGATGCGAAGGAAGCAGACGAAGGTGTGCCTTTGTGACGAGTCAGGAGAGGGACGTGAAGAAGTTGGTGCTGTTTCGGTGGTGTTTGGCGTGGAAGCTGCGGAGAAGAGGCGGCGGAAGGGCGGGAAGGCGGCCGCGTATTACTGTAAGCTGCAGAGAAGAGGCGGCGGAAGAGGCGGCGGAAGAGGCGGCGGAAGGAGCTCGAGCTCAAGGACGAGGGAGGAGAGTGGAGGGTAGAGGAAGATGATGGACGCGCAGACGAAGCTGTCGATGAGCCTGGACGATCTAGCGGCGAAGAACGGCCGGCGGATTCAGAGTGGCGTGGTAGCGAAGAGAGCGTTCCGAAGACCAACTCCTTACGGCTACGGGTCGTTCAGAGGGATCCCTTTCCGCAATCGCCCACCACCGACAAGGCTTCCCGAGCTATGCAACAATTGCAAGAGACCGGGACACTTCGCCCGCGAGTGCCCTAATCAGGTGGTATGCAATAACTGCGGAATGGCAGGTCATCTGGCGGCGGCGTGCACCAATGAAGCGATCTGCCGGAACTGTAAACAGGCTGGGCACATAGCTGGGCAGTGTCCGAACGAAGCTGTTTGCAATATCTGCGGAAAGCCGGGGCATATCGCACGAGGTTGTGCGGCTTTGGAGGGAGGAGATCGAGATGCCGTAGGGCTGCCTAAGTCTCTCCTATGTAATAACTGCTTCAAGCCTGGGCACATTGCCGTCGATTGTCCGAACGAGACGGCATGCAACAACTGTAGGAAGCCGGGGCATTTGGCGCGAGACTGTAAGGACCTTCCGGTTTGCAATCTGTGCGGCGATCGGGGTCATATTGCGCGGGAGTGTTCGCGTAGCGGTGGGCTAGTGTGCAACCTCTGCGGTGAGAGGGGACACATCGCTCGCGAGTGCCCGCGAGGAAACGGGATCATCTGCAATCTCTGTGGGGAAAGAGGGCACATTGCCCGGGAGTGTCCGCGAGCGGCGGCGGGGGCGATCATCCCTTTCAGGAACGACATGTTTGGTGGAGGATTCGGGAGTGCGGGGTTCGGTGGTGCGGGTTTCGGCGCGGCGGCGGGATTTAATGGCGCATTCGGTGCGGCAATGGCGCCGGATGTCGTGTGCCATAACTGCAAGATGCCGGGTCACATCGCTAAGGACTGCACGCAGGCCGTAGTGTGCAACAATTGCGGAGGCCGCGGGCATCTTGCCATCGAGTGCCCGTCAGGACCTCAAATGAGGCCAAGACGCAGGTAGCTGTCTTATATTTTCTGTTTCTGCTACCCTCTCACTCTCACTTCTTCGCTCGGTTCTTTGCCTCTCATGCCGTCGGAGGGAGGTTAGGTTTGGGCCCGACAGTCTATGGTAAAGCTTTTGTCCCTGTAGGAAGACGGTGATCTGTTTTTTAGCGAGCAATCGCGTTTTACCACCGCCATGTTTTTGACGGAGACTCTCCTTATCTGGCGGCTGGAATGGATCTGGAGTAGCAGCAGCAGTAAGAAATCTGGAGGGCGATGCAATCGTTGCGTGGGAGCTTGCACCCCTCCTCCCGATGAAGAGAGGCAGTGGTTGCTGAAGTCACAGGAGCGATTAGAAGACGAGATGGAAGCTTGAAAGAGTGTTTGCTCAAGAGATGGAAGTTTGAAAGAATGGCTGCCCAAAGCACTGGTGGCGTCCGGTGGAGTTTATCTCGCTTCGAAGAGAGGTGAAAGCGGCAAGAATAAGACGTGGTTTATGGAAGCCTTGTCTGAGGAGCGGGAGCGGCGGCGGCATGAGGAGGAGGAAGGCTATCGAGGATTGTTGCGAGGAGTGCGGCTGGAAGAGACGGTAGTAGGGCGACGAAATCAGTGAAAGATTAGGGCCGCTGTTGAGATGTGGCGTGAAGAGTTTGCCTGAAGAGGATGGACGCTCTTTGTGCACGTAACTTTTTGTTTCCCTCCTTGCTGAAGTTGGTAGAAGGGAATCGGGATGGTGGTTAGGGGTTAGAGGATTGAGAGTGAGTCTCGAAATTGACGAGTGGAAGGATTACAAGGACTGTTTTCTTTTGTCTTTTTCGCGTAACGTGAAACGAAGTCGACGCCCTGCTTAAGCAGGGTACGGGCGAGAGAAACCCTAGAGAATGAGAGGATGTAACTGGTTACGTGGCGGTAAGAATTTTTGCTAAAGTCAAGTAAAAGATGCGTTTTACCGCGTGGGCACGGAGGCAGGCAGACTGATATAGCCTGATAATGAAATGAAGTGCGACGTTTGTTTGGTTCGGCGTTCTGGTGGAGAGAGAGAGAGAGAGAGAGAGAGAGAGAGAGAGGAAGGTGAGATGTCTTGAAGTGTATGATGATGGTTGGTGTGTGGTTTCCTGTTGTAAGCAGTCATCAGACTCCGTTGTTTATTCTGGTGTAATATGTTGCGGGAACGTAGCCTGGCTGGCGATAAAATCTGCTCGGTACGGGCTTTCCCTGAGAGGTATAGTTTCGGGTGCGGGGATGTGCGTTGGGGTTTGGGGGGGGGGAGGGGGGGGGATATGGGAGAGGGGCAAGGGGTCATTGCGGGGCGAGCGGGTGCAGGACAGTGTAAGTGTGAAGGGGAACGAGGGAAGAGGGCAGGCAGGGCAACGAGGGAAGAGGGCAGGCAGGGCAACGAGGGAAGAGGGCAGGCAGGGGAACGAGGGAAGAGGGCAGGGAACGAGGGAAGAGGGAAGGCAGTGGACGAGAGGGGTGGGGCAGGGACTTGGGGAAGTGTGGGCTTGGGGCAGGGGGTGGGGGAAAGGGAGGGGAAGGAGCCGTTCTTGGGGCAGGGGTTGGGGGAAAGGGAGGGGAAGGAGCAGTTCGGGGGGGGGGGGGGGAAATGCGGATGGGGGAGTTTGGGGGGGGGACGAGGGAGTTCCGTTTTAATTGAATGCCGTTACTACTACGAACGCTTGGTTTGATTCAGAAGATCGTTGGACCAGAAGTTCAGGAGAACTCTGCTGCAGTTACTCTTTGGCAAGTTCCGGTGACATGTCTGGGTCTTACGTAGGTACGTCAACCACGGGCTTTACAGTGCTATTACCCTGTTGTCCACGTAGCGTGTGTATTTTATGGCAGTGTGGTCAACGTGGAGGAGTATCTGTCGGTTCTTTTTCACCAATCCCCGTCCCTCTCCCTCTGCTCTCTCCACCACTCCTGTGCCCTTCCTTCGAAAGCTTTTCGTACCCCTTTCTTCGGATCAACCCGCCCTCTTGGCCTGCTCGGTTCCTACTGTTGGCCTGCTCGCCCATCGTGTCAGTCTGCCCTCTCGACTCTTCCCCTTCTCTCGGCGTGTGCGTCTCTTCTGTAGGTGTGTTCCTCCCTCCTGTCTGCGTGGTTTTGTTCCTTCTTCGCGCCTGTTCGTCCCTCCTTTGCCTCTTCAACTCTCACCTTTGCCTCTTCGTCCTCCTGTCGGGTAACTCGTTTTTCCTCTCGGCTTGTGCGCTCCTCTCGACGTGCTCTTTCCTTCCCTCGACCTTCTTTCGACCTGTTTTTGACGTACCACAGATTGTTACAGCTTGCTGCCGTCTTCCCCTGAACACTGCACGCTCATGTTGACTGTACCGGGCTGGGAAGATAGTCTGTATGCGTTGCGTTATGTTCGGGGGAGGACGATAGGAATGCAAGGTCTCACTTGCACTTGGGATGTCTCTCTCCACCGCTTGCTCGTCCCTGCTTTCTTCTGCTTTTCAGTACGTCGTTCTATCTTCTCCTCCTGGTTTTGTTCCTTGTCCTCTCTCTACTCCATCTCTGAGCTATGCGTTCTCTGCTTTATCCTCGCTGTATCCTGTCGTCGGTCTTCCTTATTCCCGTTTCCCTGCTCCCATCTGCCCTATCCCGTCTGTACCTTTCTGTGCCCACCTCCTCGCTGCCTAACCCGTCTCTGCCCTTTCTGTACTATTCACTCTGCGCGTGCCCCTTTTTGCCAGTGTCCCTCTCCCTTCTCTGTCGGCGGCTCCGTCTGCCTGCTCCTGTCTGTTTTCGCACTTATTCTTCGTCGAGCTTGGAACAATTCGACTCGCCCTTCGCTCGCATCGGTCTCTACTCCCTTCGCCCTCAGCCTGCCTCACGTGAATCACTAGCGAAGGAAGTGTTGTGTAGCCGCCGTCTTCTTCCGTGAACCTACCTTTCCTTCGGGTTTAACCCGCGGCCTTCTTTTCGGCGTTGTTTTCCCTCGGTGTGCCTACATGCTGCCTGCCATCCGTCTTCTTCCGCTTCATCATTGTGTCCTCCCCTCCGCTTGTGATGGTCCCCTTACGGTATCTCTTGGAGCGTTTTGAAACCTCTTCCACTGACGTTTCTTCACGGCTTCCTCTCGTGCTTGGTCTCTGCTGTCGACTCCCTTACTCGTCCGTTAATTCCTGCCTGTTTCCTTGTTCCATGCGTGTATGCGAGTTTTGCTTGCCTCCTTCCCGCTCGTATCCGTGACGGTTCCCTTTTTTTGGAGTCATGTCTCCTGCTGCTGTCGCTGTCCTTCCTGTACGTGTTTTTTTCTTTGCTTCTGTGGCTGGCGTATAACCATCAACTGCTCTGCCCATGTCCATTCTGTGTTGACTTTCTCCGCTCTCCAGTGCTCGGAGAGGAACGTAAATACCTATTTTATTTGGTCTTGCCGTTCTGACTGTTGAGGTGTAGAAGCGATGTCTTCGTCTTGTTGAAAAGGGCGCGTGGACCTGCCTTTTGTACGGAATACACGGTATTGAGAGCCGAGGTACACGAGAGTGCGATTGCAGGGCAATGTGCATGTGCGATAGCAGGGCAATGTGCATTCGTGCAGTGTTTAGGTTAACTCTCTCACGGAACCTTGGTACACGTGTCTGAAGCAACGTTTTTTTTTGTTCTTCTATCTGTCCTCTGCAATGACCTAACTCCACCTCACGTTTTTTCTGACTCGTGCGGTCGAATTCTCTCTTTGGTGTTTCGTTTTTCTTGCCGTCGCTTTGGCGGCGGGCCTTCGGAATAACCACAACACTCGCTTCGGAATAACCACAACACTCGCGTGTACCTCCGGTGTTTGCTTTTCTTTTTGTTTTTCTTTTCTGTGTGAAGGACGAAGTATTGGATACGTTGCGGTGTGCGAACCTTCATCGTCTTGCCGTGATTGATCGCCCACTGCTGATGCCCCTTTTTGCTCTAATGTAGTAGTTGTTACGCGTGTACGTGAGGGGTATCTGACGAAAGCGTGTTCTGATAACGTTCCGGAGAGCTCGTTTCGATTGTCGTTTTGGATAGAATGCCGTTGTGATACAATTTTTTTATCTGACATGTCGTCTATTCCTTTCTGGGCCTCGCGGCATCACTCAACAAATGCAGAAAGGATGCAAGTTATGGCGATTTATATAGTTGTTTATGTTTAGACGTAAGATTCGGCGAGTGGTGCGGCGTGGCACTTTCTGCCAAGAAATTAGGTTTGTAGGCTTTAGGGCCCCCCCTTTCCCCCCCCCCCCCCCCCCCCCCCCCCTCCCCTTTTCTAATCCGTCTTCTCCGCTCTCGCTGCAGCTCTGTTACGCGACAATCGGTCATCAGCGAGCGGAGCTGGAATTGCTAGCTATCGTTGCTGATGGTGTAAGGCACGCAGCGATTACGTACGCCATTTTTTTTTCCCCCTTCGAACGTGAATCGATCTAAAGATAGTCCTCTCGGATCTGTACTCGGTCGTTATCGTCGGTTGTTCTTTTCCATGCATATTTCTTTCTTTGACGTCTTATGAGTATGTTTCTCGGCTGCTCCGCCGCCGTTTGTTATTGCCATTCGATTAGCCGACATCTGTTTCTTCCTGCGTATGGACACCTCTCTGTTTCTTTTTCCCTGCTGTCCGTTTTCTTTGTAACTGATTTGTCGTCTACGGTTTCTTATCTTTCCAATTTCCGCTCGCCAATCTTTTTCTTGTCTTCACCTGTTTGTTGGTCTTTTGTGTTTTTGCGCTCTCACGTTGTCCCCATTTCTCTTCGCCTTTTTCTCTCTCCCTGTGCAGTGTTGTTTCTGGATATGTTTCTCCTCGTCGTTTCCTTTTCGATGCCCGCACGATGTCTTTTGTTTTTGCCTTCGTTTTTTTGTTTTTGCTTTCGTTTGCATGGACGTTTTGAATCTGGCTTTTCTTGTTTGGATTGCTTTCTCTTCTGTTCAATGTTATTTTCGTTTCGTTGCGTATTGCGTTTTTCGGTTGGCTCCGAAAAATCCCAATCTAATAATTCTTGTCTGCTGCCGCTCGTTTTCCATTCCGTGCTGTCCTCACGTCTTTACAGTATATCGCTTCTTTGCTCTTCAATCGCATGTGTCCCTTTAACTGACATCCGGTCCCTCCCTCGGGTCACCTGATCGGCTCTTCTTTTTTTTTGCGCTCTGACCGTATGCCTTAGTCTTTTTGTTCTCTCGCCTGCCTCTGTGGTGCCTTGTCAACTTGTCTGTTCTCCTTCGCGTTTCTACTCTGTCCAGAAGTGAAAACGTGAAATCGACGCCTTCCTCGTCTCTTTTCTAGCGCACTTGTTTCCCGGTGGCTCTCCGTTCGCGGTTTGGACGGGTCAAAAAATGTCTTGTTGGCTGTTACTCGTTTGTTCTTTGCGACACTCACTGCTGCTGCTGCTCTCAAGAAATGCATATTTTATGGCATGATGTCTTGCCTGCTGATTTTCAAGTAGGTTCATTGAATAGATGGTCTGCGTGGCTCTTGTGAACACCGTATTTTCTGTTAGTTGTGTGAACTTATGAAGTCTGTTTCCGCAATTGAGGTGCGTAACTCTCTTGTGAGTGGTGTCATTGGACCTCGCTCCACAACTCACCAAACGTGCAAAATGAGAGAATCCTCCGCTAGAACATGGAAAGATAATACCTTCATAGTTTTTGTGGTTTGTGCATGTGGCGAGCAATAGAGCGAGGCCCATTACATTCGAAAGCGAAACTGTGGGTGTGATTGCTAACCACTTATGGATACGTGCGTTTGGAAGGTTGTTTCCTGCTGGAGGCTGTAATGGTGAAATGCTGCTCTATAACTCTAGATCGGATTACCCCATATTGGTACGCAGGCGCTCACCCGTAGACCGTCACGCACATACACGGGCAGACACTCACTAGCACACACACACACACACACTCACAGAGAGAGAGAGAACACACACACTCACAGAGAGAGAGAGAGAGAGAGAGAGAGAGAGAGAGAACTTGCGCGGCTTTGTCCTGTCGTAGAAGCACTTGTAGGGAATGAACCTCATTGAGACATTCTCGTGAGCCTGCAGCAGGGGGAGAGATGCATGCGCGACTTTTCCTGTCGTGGGAGTACTTGTTGGCTAGTGAACGGTTGTAACCTTACGTGGAGCGTACGCCTCTTTGTAACGTTACGTGGAGCGTACACCGTCCGTGGTTGTAGGGGTAAACGAATGAGAAGGTGGTTGTAGGGCTGCTGCAAGGTAAGGGGTGCAACGTGTTTGCTCGTGCTTGCATGATATGAAATGTGTTGTTCGTCTATTTTTCGCAGGGCGTGTACTAATCTTCTCTGTATCGTTCCTTTTTTGACGGATGTCGCGGACGATGATGTAGTTTCGCTTTTGCTCCGTGCTGATCTAGCGTGTCGTTGACCGTGTTCGTGGCAAACTGTAGGAATACTGCGTGATCTCTCTGGAAATCTTGGCTCAGGTGATGATGCGCGGGTCGTGTTGGATGTGGTGCTTATTGACTCCCGGTTGTGGATGAATCAGTGCGGGGTCGGATAATGTTCAAAGCGGTTGTTCCCTTTCCCTGAGTATGTCGGCTGTTTGCTGTTTGTATGAATCAGTCAGCAGGTAGTTTTTCCCTCGACATGTCGTTTAGGTTGGCGATGATATCCTTTGACCTGATTACCGACCGGGAGTTGGCGCTATATGATTGCCACGTTGTGACCCACACGCACAAGAGAAATCCGAGTGAAATGGCGGGAAATGGCGGGAAATGGCGGGAAATGGCGGGAATTAGAAGCGCGACTAGGAAGAAGATTGTGTCAGAGAAGGAGATGCTGGGATAAGGGGATGGTGATTAACAGAAGGCTGTATTATCGGAATGCAGAAGAAGAAACTGTACCGAGAGAAAAGGGAGGCAAATTGAAGAGAAGTCTGTATTATCGGAATGCGAGAGAAAGAAAGGGGGAGAGTTGAGAGTGGTGGTCCCGTACAGAAAAGATTTAAGTTCAGCAGTCGAAGGTATTAGGGATTGCGCTCATATAACCTCCCTCTTCTGGAAGCGAGTGGTAATTGTGCTCTCGGTGGTTATTAGAGTAGTTCGAGCACGTCTTTTTTTTCGCTTCCCCACGCACTCCATGGCGGCTTTAGGACGTGCTCGAACTACTCTAATAACCACCGAGAGCACAATTACCACTCGCTTCCAGAAGAGGGAGGTTATCTGAGCTCAATCCCTAATACCTTCGACGGCTAATAGTCTTTTTCTTTTTTTCTCTTTTTTCTTTCTTTTTATGTAGTCTTTTTCTGGAAGTGAGTGGTAATTGTGCTCTCGGTTGTTATTGAAGTACCCCCCGTGGTGGCTTTGGAACTTGCTAATGATCAATTACTTGTCTAGTCCGTCTAATAAAGGCCATCTCTCCCCTCGCTGGGCGTTCTGATGCATACATACTGTGAATTGGTTCGCCAAGTGGGTTGCCACCCGGTGAAAAGGAGGCGATAGACTCTGCTGGTGTACTTGTATTGTCATTTGCAAGTCGTGTACACGAGTCGATAGGAGTGGAAGACGCTCGTACAACCTGGAGACTAGCCACGGATGGCTATGGCTATACCTTTAGTAGTCGAGGACAGAATTTGACGAAGGGGCGAGTCGTCTTCCGGCGAATAGAGCGACAATCAGCATGAATGTGTACGAGGGTCAATCATGGTTGGATGCAGTCAGGATGGCCGGGCGTGATGCTTGGCTGAAGACGCCTAGTTCTGATTGGACGTCCGCTGTGTGGGGGAGTGAAAAGAAAAGCATCTAGGCTTTTGGAACGTCAAGCCATGGGTCGGGTTCCCGCGCAACGAGCGTGCCATGGCATCCATTGTTCATAACAGACTTCGCTTCTCCTTCGAAACGCGCGGTGCCATGGTGTTCGTTTCTCCTAACGAATTTCCTCCGTTAGATCGATTACTTGCATTGCGACTTTGTTATGTTTTCTCCCAGAAAATCCTTAGTGTGTTTGTTCCTGTGATTCATGCAGTCATCACTTGAAAAGCGGGAGGCATGCTACAGACATTTTTGAGCTCTCAATGTTGGATTCCTAGTACTGTTAGTGAGGAGGAAGCTCAAAGTATGCCTTTGCTGTTTCGACGCTAACTGTTCACCCTCGCTCCGTGGTGCCTTCCTCCGACCGCGTGTACTAATTGAGGGAGGATCTCGGTGGCAGTCGTTGACTGCATCCGACTGCAGTTACGTCCAGAGATGAGTCCAAAAAGGCCTAGTGGGAGTATGCCCCGAGTATGTGAAATGTCTGAGCGTCACGTTTTGTTTTCGTGTGATTTGGGTAATGGCAGCAGGAGTATATCTTCACTGCCAGCCCACAATGATTGTCATTTTGGGAGTTATGTGATTTGTGTGCGACAGAGGCGCCATGGAATGGTCTTGTCATGATGTTTTCTTTCTTCGGTTGTGCCCCCTCGTTCACGTGTTCGTTTTCAGTCTGATGTGATGTCTAATGAATGTTATCTGTGTGCCCACTGTGAAGCTAAAGAAATCCTGCAGGTAGGTTTTGGTTCTTTCTTGTTCGAGCTTTATGTTGCAGGTGCAGAAGGTTTAACAGGGAGAGGATGGTATACGACCTCTCCTGTAGCAGAGGCTTGGTCGCCGACTGTGAAGCGAAAGCAAAGCCTGCAGGTAGGTTTTGGTGCGTCTTCGTTTGAGCTGTTTGTTTGCAGGTGCAGAAGGTCTAAGCAGGGAGAGGATGGTATATGACCTGCTGCTCCTGTAGCGGAGGCTTGGTTGCTGACTACCGTAGCTGCTTTTTCTGTTCAGCTCATATCCATGCCGCTACATCATACTCCTTTTCTATGCTTGTCCTGTTGCCCGGCCTTCCTCTCTCCGCCACCGATTTGGAGAAGCCAGAAATGGTGCTCCCGGGTTTATTAATAGAATCGGCACTGTTTACTGGGGGGGTGGTTGTCGGACATTTTTGGACGTGAACTGCGATTGTCAGACTGTGGACTTTGCTGACGCATCACGAGGGTAGATGTGCCTGTGGAGCGCTGACATGAATAGACAGCAAGGCAATGATGCTGTCTGTGTTATTTTGGTGTGAGAACTCGCCGTCATCGGCTGCGCCAAGCTGTTGCTGTAGGCGGCTTGATGGCAGGAAGCTTCAATAACTGCGGGCTTTCTCAAACGATTCTGGCTGTGATTACGGCCAGGTGGTTCCTTCGAAGTTCGACAGTGAGTGTGCTGCACAATGATGGATTGGATTGTCCATCTCATGTGGGATGCGAACAAGGTTGAGGTTTGTGTGTTCCTGACATGTGTACGAACGGGAGGGGTTGTGTCTTGATGGATCATCGCTCCTTGCAACAAGCATCGAAAGCTGAGGAGAGGAACATTTTGTTATATTACCTTGGATGTTGGATATTGGTATCTGAAGTCATGATGAAGGCACAGCACAGCACAGCACAGCACTCTACAGGGCAGTTGCTTGTTGATGGGTAGTACGTGCCACATGTTGCCACATGTTTATTATAGAGTTGGGGCAGGGCATATCCCTAACCCGGGGTGTTCTGCGAGATCCATTCATCTTGTGGAGGTCTTGAGTTTCTCGTGCTCGTCCGGAACGTGGTACCGTCTCCAGAGAGCATGTGCGGTTGCGATCGTTTGTGTCGGATAGAGTGGCATGTCACTGTCCAGCCAGTCGGCAGAAGCTAAGACTATGGAGGCTATTGCATCACAAGCATTTCAGGAGAAGACTGCGGTGGTTTGCACAGCTCCCTAATTTCTCGCTTTCTGGTTGGGCGGCCTCTGCTGAATGCGGGTCAAATGAAGTCTTCCTGGATAATCCCGTGGCCTGCCGTTGTCGTAGTCCTACCACTGCGAGGCCCGCCTGAACGGGTCTGATGGGGATGTTCTGTGATCCTTAATTAGTGGCAGCACCGTTCTTCTTTTTATGATGTCGGTTGGCAGAGGCAGGATGGAAGGATGCATGTTGTGCTTTGCATCTTGTCTGTGGTAGTGCTGTTTGCAGATGAGGCTGGATGGATTCATGTGTGGATGGCATTGTCTTTGAAGCTCATGGACAGAAATGCCTTGCGTTGGCATTGACGACGTCTTGCATGTGTTCATTCATTAGTATTTTTGACCGAACTACAGTTCATCAGGAATCCCTCTCTCTTTCTCTCTCTCTCTCACACACACACACACGCGCACACACGGAGGAAAGGTTATATCCTGGACAGCTGCTTCAGAGTGGCAGCAGGCCTTGTTTGGGCCATTGGCTGAGCTAGTTAGGGAGTGCGAGGTCTTTTTGTTGTTTTGTTAGTGGTAGATTGTTATACCACTTCACTCCGATTATGCGGAGGATGCAGTGCAAAGTGACGCTCTAGCGGTCTACTGTTCTGTAGAGATAGCACTATGATACTGCAGTTGAGATGCGTTGATGCGGATAGTCTGGTGGGCAGGTCTGGATGGTAGGGAAGGGGTGTTCAGTCATTTTTTATTAATTGTTTAGATTTGTAGTTAGTTTTGAGTTGTGTTTCGTATGTTTTTCTTGCTCCTTTTTTAACAGGCGGATTAGCATGAACTAGAGATGAGTTTTTTTATTTAGTTTTTGATTGATTGAGTTTTGTGAAAATTCACTGGCCTCTTTTTCCACCCCCCAAGCCTTTGAATTTTCTTTGTTTTTTCTCGAGGGCATGGGCAGTGTATCGTGATCGAGGTACTCAGAGCGTTCACAACTCGACCAGGAAGCATTTGTCGGAATGAACCTAAGTCAGAACATTGCCAGGTTCATTCCGATGGTTCTGGACATGCTTGATAGCTAGGTATGTTATATTGAGCGCTCAGTGTAGGCAGTTCCTGACAGGAGGCGGTCCAGGAAATTGTTGTTTTTTTTTTCCCCCTTCGATTTTGCTCCAAGGACTAAGGCGCTCGCCAGCTGGCACAGAATCACAGAATTCATGCTGCGGTACGGGAATGATGTATGCGGCATGTCAGCCCATTGATATGGTGTGCTGGAAGTTCGATAAGGAAGCAAAGTGTTCTTCTCCTTTGTATTTCCTTTTTCGAGGAGGTTACGGCCAGCGAGCATCTGTAATTTTGTTTACGTGTAGCTTCTGGTTGGCAAGTTAGGGGGAAAAGGATGTCACGTACCTGCTTGGCAGTAGTAGCGGTTTCATCTTAAAATGTGATGCTACAAAGTGCTATGAAGTTCGCCTCGTGTCTTGTGGTTGGCTATTTGGAGTGCGCTCTGCTTTCTTTACGTTTTTTGTTTCCTGGCGATGTCTGTGCTTCTCCTCCTGTTGGTTAACGGGCTTAAACATGGAAAGCACCAAAAGTACGATTTCTTGGCCTTATCTCCATTTTTTTTGGAACCTTTTTGTTTTTGTATGCTTTTGCTTTAGGTCAAGCTTGTTGCGTGTCAAAGTTTGTTGTCTGAAGTTTTGAAACTTTTGAAAGGTCACCACAGAGACTTTGGATACTATAAACGACAAAATTTGACACGCAGGTAAACTTGTGAAAATTCTGAAAATTCTCTGAAGGTAAATCTTCATTCAAGGGCACTTTCGCCTCCCGCTTTTGTTTTCTTTCCGTTTGTTTATCGATATGGTGTCCACTCTATGGAGTGGTATAAACAGCCGTTCAAAAGATGCTGAGCATTGGGCCTATGTCAACCATCCGCCAGGTTCATTCCAGCTCCGGTTGAAGAATCTAGACAGGATTGTCGCCGGATGCATCGCTGGAGTTAAATTGTAGAGTCAGTATCCGTCCTTTCACGGCATGACGCCTGTGGATTACTGTAGATGTTATGGCTCACTGAATGGCTTTGCGGAAGATGAAAGTCATTTCTAGGAGGCGTCAGGCTGTAGAGGGTATATACAATTACAGAAAAAAATTGTATTTCTTTTGAATATACAATTACAGGAATTGTATTTCTTTTGATGTAGACATCATTAGGCTTAAGCACGAGCAGTGTTGCACGGTGGGTTAGTGTGGCCAACCTGTGCTTCTACATATTGCGACGTACACAGAGGAGCCATCCAGTGGGTGGCGACACCTAGCTAAAGAAGAACGTGGGTCGGATTGTTTTACTTCAGTGCACAGGTCACTTAAGTACTGGTGGTCTATACGGCCAGCAGCTGGGTGAGTCACGGGAAAAGCCTTGAGTTTGTTCTTTGTGTGGGCGCTTATACTGACCTCTCCTTTGTTAAAAAACGAGTGATGGCCTTCGATGGGTTGTCTTTTTGTTTCTGTGAACACTTTCTTTCAACCTATTGCGTTTTTTTTTGTCTGATAGTTTATGGCCACCGATGACTATACGCTTTATAAAAAGACTATTAAACTATAAACTATGGTCAACGCAAGTCTATAAATCGTGTAGTCGTTGGTGACTACTATTGCTTTATAAGGACTTAACCCGGGTCTTTCTTCGATGCTTCCAGGGGGCCCTCTGTTCGGAAGAGGACGTGGATGAGGGGTGGGCCCAATGAAAAGGTGCAGGTGTGGTGTCCAACGGTTCATTTTTTCTCTTGGTTGGCGGCGCCCTCCTCTCTTGGTTGCTCGGTAGGTGGTGATGCTCGCACGGAGACTGGGACGCCCTGTGTTGGGAAGAGGGTGGAGGGGTGGGCCCAACGAAAAGGTGCAGTTGAGGGGTGTGACGGTTCACTTTTTCTTTTGGTCGGTTGTGTCCACTTCTCGCAGGCGCTTGCTAGAGGAGTGAACTGAGAGTGAATCGTTGGCTATTACATGGGAACATACACCGTTATATTTTCTGTTGTCGCATTCCACATGCACAAAAGACGATAGCAGGAGATTGAATCGTTGGCTATTACATGGGAACATAGACCGCTAGAGAGTGAATCTTTCCCCCTGACGTAGCAGGAGATTCATTCTTCTTTAGAGGAGAGGAGCTCAGCAACACCTGTTGCTGATTTGGAGTTTGAACGGCTTTTCTTTTCGGAGCACTTGGCTAAAGGACAAAATATGACAGTCTTATCTTTTCATGTTCTACGCGAGGACTCTTTTGAATTTGTGGAGTATATAAGCGCGAAGGCCCTTGGTGATTTGGAGTCCATTATTATTTTTTGTCCTTTTGTGTTGGTTGGTCTGATGGAAGCAAGAACGGCGGCTCGAATCCCGAAGGAAGGCAATTGTCGGCCCTGCTGTGTAGACAGAACGTGTTTGCTACAGGGCCTTCCTTCACTACTCTCCACGTGTTGAATCCTCTGGCGGAACATGGAATAATACGTTGCCAAAATCCCTGGCGACACGAACAGGGCGCCCTCCACGGCTCTCAAAGCTGGTCTGTTGGGTGCTGCTCGGCCACCAGGGTATTGGTCTGGGGAGGATTGGGGTATACCCCTGATGTTTTTCTTTTTCGTTTCTTGGGGTGGGCTTTGCCATGGAATGGCCCGGCATCCAGTTGTTTCTATTACATTGTATGTTTGCCGGCCAGTTTTTCTGAGACTCGGCGTGCATGCTGGGGGGGCATTGGTTGGGATGTACTGCAGTGCCGTTTGGTGGCACATGCATGCATATACATGAAAAACGGATCTTTCGCAGACACTTTTCATAGAGGCTGCTTGCGTGCTGTTGCGTCTGACAGGAAGTAGTGAACTCTGTTTCGCATCACGTCCATTGAGGTGAAACGCGTCTTGCATGTGACTCGTTTTGCCTGGATGCGTGTGCCACTCAATGGCACCGCGGTATTTCTTGCCTAGTGCAGCAGCGCGCATGGTGCGATTCAGGAAAAATGGCTGGGAAACGTACTGATGGTTGAATTGTGCTCATAAACCTGCGCATGTGGTGAGAGCAGCCAAGAGTCCTTTCCCTACACGTAAGTCCTTTCCCTACACGTAACAATTGCTGAAAGCAGAGTGCAGTCTCATACTTCCCCGCGTTCTTTTACCATTCAGTACTTTTACCATTCGGCCAGAAATGCCTTCAGAGAAACTCGTGCGGAATGAAGAGAGACTGAGGAGTGTAAAGTCATCGTGGTGCTTCTGGAACTCGGTATTGGAGTTGCAATTTATTATTTTCAGTGTGTGCTTGCCTGAACTGTGGAAAGCCATCTTTTCGTTTTGTGCCTTTTATTTAGGTTATTTGGCCCCAACCCATGGCCTGTCCGTACGCCTCCCAGATAGGCACCCATCTCTACCGCAAACTGTACCGGCAGGTCCTCATGGTGCCATTTGGTGCACATGGGATGACACCCGGGCCACACAATACCGCCCTGCCCACAGAGTCTGACCTGCATATATGGCCGCCAAGCGAACAACCAGTGCTCGCTAGACCATCAGGGGTCTCTGACCACCGCCCAGTGGATGCCCTGTGAACCAACCCGTATTGTGTGCCCCGGACCAGTGTAGTGCTGCCGAGTCTGCGTGGTACACGATGTGCTGCCTGTAATATTGCCCAACCCACACGGTGCTGCCTAGGCAACATGTCACCGCCCAGCCTAGTTGGTATCGCCTAGTGCTGGTGGGTGTGGGTGCAACGTGGCAGGTTCGAGTATGAGCATGCCTGTTGGGACCCGGAAGATGGTGAACTGTGCTTGACGACGGTGAGTCCGGAACAAACTCTGGTCGAGGCTCGCAGCGATACTGATGTGCAAATCGTTTGCTGAACTTGGGCGTAGGGCCGAAAGAACCAGTTGATCGCGAGTGTCGCTCCCGGAGTCGTATTACCAGGACTACCAGGGATGAGTTCATAGCAGTATATATTAGGAAGGATACATCCGAAACAACCACGATAAGGTTGCAAAATTTGCCATGAACATATTGGTCTCTCTCTGCACTTCCAGAAAAAAATCTGGCTTTGGAGAGGTCGTGCCCTCTGCCATTGATTCACGACTGCTGCCCTTCAGTTCCAGTAACTTATATATGATGGTAGAGGCCGCTCTGGCTTTGGAGAGGTCGTGCCCTCTGCCATTGATTCATGACTGCTGCCCTTCAGTTCCAGTAACTTATATATGATGGTAGAGGCCGCTCGCCAGAGAGAGCTTGCGAAAGTAGACAATGGATCAGTGAGCCACCAACTGTAATTGATCGCCGTCTTCAGACAAGGACTTCCTTTTTCTTGCGGATCGAGCTAAACAGGCGTTAGCTAAAATGGTTCTAGAACCTGGATGGGAAGTCCGTTTTGAACCTCACCTCGATTTGGAAAACGTGAAGTCCAAAGATTTGATATTAAATTCCACTTAGGCGGGAGTTGTCTCTATGTCAGTCATAGACTGAGATGTGCATTGTACAGATGCATAGACCCCTTCCCAAGTACTGATGACATTGTCAGTACCTGCCTGTCCCGAAAGAGACGTGGTAATAGGAAAGGTAAACAATCTCATCAGTAATCGGGAAGCGGTCTATGCATCTGAACAATGCACATCTCAGTCAGTAATTGGAAGTTTTTGAAATTGTGGTTTTACATACTGGAATCTTCTAATATTGTAGCTATATGCTTTGTTGGGTAAACCAGCCAGGGGCCTGGACGTGGGAATACCATGTGTTTTTGAGTTACAAACGGAAGTCGGGTGAGTTTGTTAGAGCAATAAATGAAGTCAATCCCATTGGGCCATTGTCGATTTTAAATTCTCATTAGCTAAGGGTTCAGCCCAGATAAGAGCTGGGATGGGTGGATTCGGCTGGTGGCTGGAATTGAAATGTATTTTCGTAAAAGCCTGTATAAGAAAGCGTTGTTCTTTTCACTTTTCCTTAGTCTTAATAGCAGCTTTTTCCTTAGTCTTAATAGCAGCTTTTTCCTTAGTCTTAATAGCAGCTTTTTCTAACTCCAGACATTGTGTTTCAAGCTTTGTGTCTTGTGTTTATGGTGTAATAGAAAATTTTCAAGATAAAATAGCTGATAGATTTAATATGGAGACTTGAAGGATAAGAAAGAGAATTAATAAAGCTCCCATTGGAGTTGTTTGTAAGAAATCATTCTAACTGAAGATAGAAATAAAGATAAGTTCCGTGAGGGAAAGGAGAAAAGAACCATAAGAAACGGAGTGAACTGGAAAACCTGAAACCCCCGCTGCAAATGATCGGTGGAAGGCCGAACGATGGATCATCAGTGAGTGCATGATGGATCTGCAGAGGTTAACAGTCTACCTTTTGCATAATGGGATAGTGTGAGTACATTCATACGGCAAGCTTAAACCCTTCGGTGTAGGCGTAATGAAATTGTAGATGTAACATCTGCTATTAACCAGGCCTTGATCTGATTCCTCATCACAGGATATGTGTGTAGCTTTTCCAAGAGGCATGAAATGTTGATTAATGATGCCATGGAAGTGCAGCAATTTCGATATCTTTGCCGAATTAATGGATATGAAGTGTATTTTACGTTGTCAATTCTGACTGCTCGAGTCATTGTAAGAGTTGCTCATTCTACAATCAATATGTAGGAAAAACGCGACGTTGTAGAGGTCCACATCAAGACGGACACCGTGTTATTTGACTTTACAAGTATGATGAGATGCAGATGCATAATGATGACCCAAACAAAAAGACAATTGTGGGTCTGTGCATGTTTTATTCATCTGTTTGGTGGTTTTGATTGATTTTTCCTCTTGAGTTCCACACTCCATTTCGTGGTGGCAAGTGAAGTTTTCTTTCCTTCTTTGCATGATTATGTAATCAATTGCTTATGGTCTTTGTGTTCTACCCATCGACCAGACAATACATCCATAAAAAAAGCCTCGACATTGATCACTCTAGCAGAGCTTGAGTTTCGGGAATATGCACTTTGCCTATATTGGTTTTGCATCCCGCTTTAACCGATTCTTTGAACAACGCTAGGGGTTTGTCACAGTAATGTTTATTTTGATAATTTGCATGATAATATTGTGATTTATAGAATCAAACAGATAAAGCAGAAAATACAAGTAATAATGATGGTGGTAATATCCGCAAACTGATATTGTTTTATGGTGGAAAGGTCATATCAGGCGTAATTAAAACAGAAACAATCCAGTTTCGAGACCCACCTGTATAGCGGGTATCATCATACAGAGAAGGATAAAATATTAGAAAAAGATAAGAAGTAAGCATTGCACGAATAATGTGTGACTTTGATGATTGTGGCTACAAAATTTGAAATGCCTTGTTTTTCTCTCCTCTGAACTGTATGTATCACACAATGTAAGATCACTACCTTTTTTCTTCCACAACGATCATTCAGCTTCCTACTTTCATTGATTTCACATGCAGTGTTTTTTTTTTTTTTTTTTTTTTTTTTTTTGATAACATAAACAAAACCAATAGTACTGGCAACACATCCTGCATAAATACAAGGAGGATGTATAGCCAATACGGGGTGTTGTAGTACACCGGGTGTGCGAAGGTAGGTTGAATCTACCGCTTTGGGCAGTTGTAGAGAATAATGGTCAAGGCCTGCTTGACTAGAGACCTACAAGTCCAACAAAAATGAAACTCGGCCATAGTGATTTGGGGGCCCAGTGTGGAAGGGCTTTCGTTCAACGGATCAAAGGTACTCCGGGAATAACAGGGTGATGACTCCAAATAAGCTCATATCGATGGAATCATTTCGTACGTCGTCATCTTGGGTTACTTACACATTAATGTGCAAGGCGCGAAGCTGGCTATATGCTGGGAACTACGTTTAGTATCTGACCAAATATGAGTTTACCAACTTATTTGAGCAATTTTAATATTGTATGTCTGTATGTACGTTCCTATGTATGTATGATGTTCTCTTCCTTGAGTTGCTCAAAGTATTTTGAGTGTATCTGCATCAACAACCTTAATACGAGTCAAATAGTTGGTGGTTTCGAGTGTGCACAGTTTGCATGACTCTTAGGAGGATTCTCCGTTTGTTATGTAGATGGCTCATGAGGTTTGTGTGTTGATGATTGATATTTGTTGCAGTACCTTACTGGCTTAGCAGGATGTAGGAATTATCAGTCTGCGAAGTGCACCTATTTCCTTCAATAATGTTTACCTTCGTATGTGTTCGAAATACGTGGTTTTGTTATATTGCATTCTTATTCATTTGAAGATCATGTGTTCGGTCATTATTGCCCTGCCAAAACAAGACCAGGTGGTTACACCGTGCTCGATCCCCCTAGGCTCAATATCGGCAAAAATGTTTTATTGTCAACAACATCATGAAAATATTAGTAAAAATATAAAATCAACGAATTTTTTTATTTAGCTTTACACTCAATCTATACACATGCACACTTGTACAGACATCTAGGAGTTTTTTTTTTCATAATCAATTGTTTTTTTTTTTCATATTATT